AACGTTTACTTCTAATTAATATAGCGATTTATCTATTTAAAATAGTTTATTATTTAACTAGCTCTCTATCGAATCGTATAAATATTAATAATTTCCCTAACACTATTTTAAAGATATCTCGTCTTTTAAGGAATTATTAGTAATTCTAGACCTATAGATAATAGTTTAAGTCCTTTAAAACTTTTATTTTAACGTGCGATTTACTAATAAGTCCCTTATTAAGTTCTTCTAATAAATCGACTATTAATAAATTATCTAAATCGAATAAAAGATTCTCTTTCCTCTCTTCTTTCTTTTTCTTTAGATAGGAAAGGCTCTTAGTTAATAACGCTATCTATTTAGCGAATAAACGATCTCGTTTCTCAGCCTACTATAGCCCTACCCCGAGTATCCTTCAACGAGATCCTCGAGTCGACTACGTTCTTTAATATTTAGAGAGGCTATAGTAGTAATAGATAGATATAGCGAAAGACTAAAATCTCGATTAATAACTATTTAAGTTTATAATCTATTAATAATATAATAGACTATATCTAATATAATTAAGACTAGAGCTATATATAAATACTATATAAATAGATCGCATATATAAATAGATAGAATATAAGAAAAGAACTTTATATAGTAGATATAAGCCTGATATAAATGTAAAAAGTCGTTCGCTAAATTACTAGAGATTCGTCTCTTCGAGTTATTCGATTTCGACTTATGGCCTATAGTAAATCGAATTACTTCGAGAATTATATCTTAGTCTTTTAAACGTATTAATTTCATATATACGTTAAGTAGACTAATTACTCTAGTATATTATAGCTATAACTATATAACTATTATTTATAACTATATTATCTATAACTACTATTATTAATAACTATATTATCTATAACTACTATTATCTATAACTATATTATCTATAGCTATATTTATCTATAACTATATAACTATAGCTCTTAGTTATATTATAACTAACAAGTAAAGATCTATAAATTAAATTTATAGAGTTAAATTTTTTCTAAGTCAAATCGAACTCTAATCGCTTACTGTACGTTTTTGACCTACATATAGATATATATATACGGAGAGAGGCGCGCTAAGGCCTAATTAGGAAGGTGTATCGAGTGTGGAGAATTGATCCGTAATAATTGCCCACAAAAAACAGAGAAAGGCCATGTCCTTATGGCAAGAAGTATCGAAATACCGGAAAGAAATGGAGACAACATGCCAATTAGTGGTGTGAATCCCACATTATCTCCTGCCGCAGTGAAATCTTTCGAATAATGAAATAGCTGTCAGAGCAAGACATCGGACGGTTTCAATTCGTCCAAATATGCATCGTTCCGGAGTGATGATTTGATGTGGAACCGTGGAGAGCATATGACGTGGGATCTTGGAGAGCTGAGCCGTGTTCTTGACGATGGTGGCCTTGTTGCCGCTTGGTTTCTCCGCAGTGTTCTCCGCATTTGCCTGTTGTAGTTCCTCCTCTTGCTCCTCAATGTAGTGGGGATGACAGGCCAAGTTGCAATAGTGTTCTCCGCTTGCTAAGTGATGATTTGATGCGGAACCGTGGAGAGCATATGACGTGGGATCTTGGAGAGCTGAGCCGTGTTCTTGACGATGGTAGCCTTGTTGCCGCTTAGTTTCTCCGCAGTGTTCTCCGCATTTGCCTGTTATAGTTCCTTCTCTTGCTCCTCAATGTAGTGGGGATGACAGGCCAAGTTACAGTGGTGTTCTCCGCTTGCTAAGTAATAATTTGATATAAAACGGCCAAGTTGCAGTAGTGTTCTCCGCTTACTAAGTAATGATTTGATGCGGAACCGTGAAGAGTATATAACGTGGGATCTTGGAGAGCTGAGCCGTGTTCTTGACGATGGTGGCTTTATTACCGCTTAATTTCTCCATAGTATTCTCCGTATTTGCCTATTATAATTCCTTCTTTTACTCCTCAATGTAGTGGGAATAACAGGCTAAGTTATAGTGATATTCTCCGCTTGCTAAGTAATAATTTGATGTGAAACAACTAAGTTACAATAATGTTCTCCGCTTGCTAAGTGATGATTTAATACGGAACTGTAAAGAGTATATAACGTGGGATCTTGGAGAGCTAAGCCGTGTTCTTGACGATAATAGCCTTATTGCCGCTTAGTTTCTCCGTAGTGTTCTCCGCATTTGCCTATTATAGTTCCTCCTCTTACTTCTCAATATAGTGGGGATGACAGGCCAAGTTACAGTAGTGTTCTCCGCTTGCTAAGTAATGATTTGATGTGGAATAGCCAAGTTGCAGTGGTATTCTCCGCTTGCTAAGTGATGATTTAATACGGAACTATGGAGAGTATATAACGTGGGATCTTAAAGAGCTAAGCCGTGTTCTTAACGATAGTAGCCTTATTGCCGCTTGGTTTCTCCGTAGTATTCTCCGCATTTACCTATTATAATTTCTTCTCTTACTTCTTAATATAGTAGAGATAATAGATTAAGTTATAGTGGTATTCTCCGCTTACTAAGTAATAATTTAATATAGAACGGCTAAGTTATAGTGGTATTCTCCGCTTACTAAGTAATAATTTAATATAAAACCGTAGAGAGTATATAATATGAGATCTTGAAGAGCTAAGCCGTGTTCTTAACGATAATAATCTTATTACCGCTTGATTTCTTCGTAGTATTCTTTATATTTATCTATTATAGTTTCTTCTCTTACTTCTTAATATAGTAAGAATAATAGATTAAATTATAATAATATTCTCCGCTTACTAAGTAATAATTTAATGTGGAACGACTAAGTTATAGTAATATTTTTTACTTACTAAGTAATAATTTAATACGAAATTGTAAAGAGTATATAATGTGGGATCTTAGAGAGCTGAGTCGTGTTCTTAACGATAGTGGTCTTATTGCCGCTTAGTTTCTCCGTAGTATTCTCCGTATTTACCTATTATAGTTTCTTCTCTTACTTCTTAATATAGTAAGAATAATAGGCTAAGTTATAGTAGTATTCTCCGCTTACTAAGTAATAATTTAATATGAAATTATAAAGAGCATATAACGTTCGGACGCGTTTAATGTGACTATAATATTTAAATGTTAGTTTAATCCATCTATCGCTGACTTAGAAGGAGTATATAGAGGAGGACGTATCCGTTCGAGCTCTTTTTAAGGGCCTTTTAACGCGTTTATAAGTAGTAGTAGATAGCTGTTAGGCTCGCTTACGGCCTCGATTGCCAGCAGTAGCGGATTTGCTGAGAGATGGCCTGGGGGCGTTAATAAGGGGCTCTAATTAGGCGAGGGGTACCGAAGACGATTATGTTCATATTGATGGAATTGATAGAATTGATAGAATTGATAGAATTGATAGAATAATAAAAGAATAACAAACAGATGAAAGGATTATTATTCGATTTCGGACGCGTCTGATGTGACTACCATAACTATTATATTTAAATATCTATTTAATTTATTAATAGTAGATCAAACTTCATAATTTTTACAGCGTTAGAAAGCGTAAAGCGAGCTCTATAATTTATCAAATTATGAAGAAATAGTATCCGTAGGGAGCTGGTTATTTCAGAGGATAAGACTTCTACACATAGATTTCTATAGATTTTTAATAATTGCGGACGCTAATTTATTTACTTGCGGTATCTAATTAAAAAGCGTAGACCTAACGAATTAATAATTGACTGTATATATAAATTCAAGGTTTTCTAGTTCAGCCCTACCTTATTCTTTTATATATACTAATAATTATAAGTTATTAAAATTAATAGATAGCCCTCTCGAGCTTCCTTATTAAAAATTTATATATAGAAGTTTTATACTTTAAAGTACTTAGCTTGCGATATATATAGTTACTTTATAATTCCTTAAATTATAGAGCTCGCTTTACGCTTTCTAACGCTATAAAAATTATAAAGTTTAATCTACTATTAATAAATTAAATAAATATTTAAATATAATAGTTATAATAGTTATATTAGACGCGTTCGAGATCGGATAATAATTCTTTCATCTATTTATATAATTATTATTCTTTTATTACTCTATTAATTCTATTAATTTTACTAAACGCGTTAAAAGACCCTTAAAAAGAGCCCGAACGGATACGTTCTTCTCTATATATTTCTTCTAAGTCAGCGATAAATAGATTAAACTAATATTCAAATATTATAATTATATTAAACGCGTTCGAGATCGAATAATAATTCTTTTATATTAATTCTACCAATTCCACCAATATAAACACATTTATTCTCGGTACCCTCGCACTTAGTTAAATAAGAGGAGGATCTATAATAGGCGAATGCGGAGAATACTGCGGAGAACATTACGGAGATAGTTATCAGCAGCAGTGACATAACAGGCCTACTCTCCACGGTCTCACACCAATCTATTTAGCCAGTGCAAGAGAAGTTAATACAGTAGGCGAATGCGGAGAATACTACGGAGAAACCAAGCGGCAATAAGGCCACCATCGTCAAGAACACGGCTCAGCTCTCCAAGATCCCACGTTATATCAATCATCCACTCAGTCAGCCACTCAGCTAGCCACTCAGTCTAATACTCTATAAGAGGAGGAGTAAGAGAAGGAACTACAACAGGCAAATGCGGAGAACACTGCGGAGAAATTAAGCGGCAATAAGGCTATCATCTATTACGGTACGCCAAGGCCTCCTCCAGAGCCACCACCCATTTGGGCCTAGCGTGGCTTGGCATCGCACATATCTGCCCTGCAGGCACATAGAATAATGAACATCTTTTACACCACCATGAATTCATGACCCAGTCATCCATTTCCTTGACAATTGGTAGCCACACCTAACCCAGGTCCTCTTCCAAGTCGTCTATATCGTCACTCGACCAGTAGTCACAATATACCGACAGTCAGCCCCCCCGCGCTTCCGCTACGCAGCTAGATTCAGTCTACGCAATCAGACAATTAGGCTATTCACCAGCCTACCAGACCACACAGTCAATCCTTTCATTAGGCCATTTGACATCACATCATGTCTTCTAACAACGGAGATACAAGCGGAGAACTCGTGCCAAGCACCTCCCATCAAGCCGTCAACACACCAAATCCACAGTCAATGATCCCCGGCCTCTCACAAGATACGATCAATGGCCTAATGACTGCATTTGGTGGTATGATGCGTCAAGAAATGCAGAGATTTGAGCAGAGATTAGAGAGAATCGAACAGTTTTTGGGCCCCGCACTATACCAAAATCCTACTTCATCTCCCAATCCTACTCCGCCTCTCAATTCGACTCCGCCTCCCAATTCCACTCTTCCCAGCATTGAAATACCAGAGCAGAACCTCTCTCACACGAACGACTCGTCCTACCATACAAGTTCAGGCCACTTACGAGCGAAGGAGATGGGATACTTCGATCTGCAACAGGCGAATGTGGAGAAAACTGCGGAGAAATATACGGAGAAAACTGCGGAGAAGAACAAGAGCACGGACCACAGCAGTCCTATTCAAGCGGGCACACTCTCCATAATTCCACATCAGGCCACTATGCATATTTGCGGAGAACCTTCCCCTCGCCTCAGCAATACACCAGTTTTCGCCACCCCTTCTCACCTCACTTCTCGCTTTCGCCTCTCCGCTCGGTTACACTCGATTCGCGAAGGATATGGAGGCTATAGGCCAAGGATAGGTGCATGGACATATGGACGGCGCATGCTCAATGTAGCTATCCAGAGATGCAGCCACGAGGACGTGTCTTTTTTTTCATTCTTTGCGGGCATGTTGTTACGGTACGCCAAGGCCTCCTCCAGAGCCACCACCCATTTGGGCCTAGCGTGGCTTGGCATCGCACATATCTGCCCTGCAGGCACATAGAATAATGAACATCTTTTACACCACCATGAATTCATGACCCAGTCATCCATTTCCTTGACACCATCGTCAAGAACACGGCTCAGCTCTCTAAGATCTCACGTTATATCAGTTATTCACTTAGTCAGCTATTTAGCTAGCCACTCAGTCTAATACTCTATAAGAGGAGGAGTAAGAGGAGGAACTACAATAGGCAAATGCGGAGAACACTACGGAGAAACTAAGCGGCAATAAGGCTACTATCGTCAAGAACACGGCTCAGCTCTCCAAGATCCCACGTCATATGCTCTCCACGGTTCCATATCAAATCATTACTTAGTAAGCGGAGAACACCACTACAACTTAGCCTATCATCCCCACTATATTAAGGAGTAAGAGGAGGAACTACAACAGGCAAATGCGGAGAACACTACGAAGAATACTACGGAGAAACTAAGCGGTAACAAGGCCACCATCGTCAAGAACACGGCTCAGCTCTCCAAGATCCCACGTCATATGCTCTCCACGGTTCCACATCAAATCATCACTCAGTAAGCGGAGAACACCACTGCAACTTGGCCTGTCATCCCTACTGTATTGATATGGTACATTACTGCAATAACGTCACAAGAGAAGAATCTACTACGACGATCATAGCCAATTAAACCTCTGCAGGAGGAATATCGGACGATACATATTTGGACGAATTGAAACCGTTCGATGTCTTGCTCTGACAGCTATTTTATTATTCGAAAGATTTCACTGCGGCAGGAGATAATGTGGGATTCACACCACTAATTGGCATGTTGTCTCCATTTCTTTCCGATATTTCGATACTTCTTACCATAAGAACATGGCCTTTCTCTATTTTTTATAGGCAATTATTACGAATTAATCCTTTATACTCGATATACCTTCCTAATTAGGCCTTAGCGCGCCTCTCTCCATACATATATATCTATATATAGGTTAAAAACGCACAGCAAGCGATCAGAGTTCGATTTGACTTTAGGGCTAGGGCTAAAATTCGATTTAACTTAGAAAAATTCAACTCCATAAATTTAATTCATAGGCCTTTACTTATATTTATATAAAAAACTTAATCTCTTTATCGATCTTAAATCTTATCTTCATTTTTATTTTTTTTAAATTTTATATTAAAAATAAATTAAGCTTTAAAAAGATTAAATATATTAAATTTCTAGAATTTCTATATAGTAACGAACTTAATAAATAAAATTCTCTTTTTATCGAGTTAAACTATATTTAATAAGATATTAAAAAATAATAATAAAGAATATCGAAATTTTTTAAGTATAAGATTTTCTAATAATAAATTTAATAGATTAATTTTTAATTAGTTAGAAGCTTTTAACTTAGAAAATATTACTTTAAAATTTAATTCTAATAAAAATTAACTTTTATAAAAATAAAGAAATCTTTAATAAATATCGCCTTCGTCTATAAAAATAGATTTAATATTATAATAAATTATATTATAAATTATATAAGTAACTATAAAAAACTTATAATTTATTATAAATTAAGTTATAATATAAAAAGAAGATATATTCTTACTATTTAGAAATCTACTTTAGTAGAGAAAGCTCGAAGACGCTAATATATATTTAGTCTAGACTTTCTAAGCCTCTTAGACTTAATAAGAATAACTCTATTAAAGACTTCTATAAAAGGTTTTCATAATATTATATTAAATATTAACGAAGAAAAAATAAGTTAATATTCTTATTAAGATAGTAATAGTAATAGATACTTATTAATATAGTAAATATATAAATTAAATATATAGTAAGTAAAAAAAGCCTTTCGCTTTAGACTTTAAAAGTTTTCTTTATTAATTCGAAAAATAATTTAACGTAAATTACTATCTAGTTAGTAAAGTCTTATATAATCTTTCTTTTTCTCTTTTAGACGTAGACTATAGTACTTACGTAAACTATTATAATACTTATATAGACGACTATAATTAGTATATATAACAGAATAAGATAGAGCTGAGCTTGAAAACCTTGAATTTGTATGTGCAGCCAATCATAAATTCAGGGTCACTACGCTCTTTGGTTAGACCGGCTGAGTCATCGCGGGTAAATAAATTAGCGTCCGCAACCATCAAAATCTCGCCCTCCCGCGTCTCCCTCATCAAAAATAGGTGTACGTTATTCACGAATAGAATAACTTTTTTGTTTTCTATTGAAATTTTGAGATTTTTTTTTAAATTATGGAGCGTCGTTTGCGCTTTCCAAATTTTTAACAATTTTGAAATTTGGTCCTATAGTTATTAATAAGCAAGGAGTCTAAATATCGCTCACCAAAGTTCGCTCGACAGCCGGACAGCCCGCTCACCAAAGTTCGCTCACCAAAGATCGCTCACCTATTTACTCGATAGCCCTAATCAAAAAAATGATTATGAATTTAATTCATAGGCCTTTACTCGTACTTATATAAATAATTATAATACTTATATAGTTCTAGTATTTTTATCTATCTTTTATTTAATAGATAAAATAAGTATTAATTTATATTTATAGTTATTTACTAGCTTTATTATATTAAATAAATTCTTAATTATATATTATATATTATATTTATAACTCTAATACTTTTAATATAATAAATACTTAGACTTTTTATATATAATTCGTTTATTTATAATTATTTTAACTTCGAAGTTATCTTCTTCGTTATAAACGAGCGATAATTCTATATTAATTCTTCTCTTATATAAATTTAAAGTTTTAATTATAATAGTAATAACTAGCTTTAACTAAGTAATTAATATTATTAAATAAATTTATATAATTAATAATAGCTTTAATCGATATATTAAATAATTAATCTTTATTAAAATCTTAAAGGAATTAATATATTATTACGAGAGTTTTCTATTTAAAAAACTTAAAATCAAGTATCTATAATATAATTTAAGAAAGATATTATTCTCTTCTTTAAGATTTAGCGCTAAATACTTCGTATTATATCTTACTTTTATAATAATAAATAAAAATACTATAGTATTATTCGTCTCTTTTCTTTTAATTAAATAAAGCTTATAAAAGACTTTTATAAATACTAAAAAATTCGTAAGTAATATATTTATACATCTGCAAATCTAAAAAGTTTCTTTTCGTACGATTTTCGTCGAGTTCGCATTATAAGTATAATTTAATACGATTTAGTCTATTAAGTAGACTTTATCTATATTTAACTCTTTCTATTAATTTAATAACTATTCTAATTCTTTTCGCCAGTTCTATTAGTTTAATAACTTTAAAAAATTTTAGTAACTTAAAATTTTTTGCGTAATATACTCTAATATACTTTAAGTACTATTCTATATATATATATAATATTAATATATATTATTATTAATATATATATTATTATACGCTATATTAAAGTATTATCTACGCGACTAATTTTATTAAATTATCTAATTTCGTGTTCAAATTTAAGTTAGCGTTAATACTTATCGTTATAGAATCTTATTATTATAACGTCGATTATTAAAACTTTTCTTTTTTTATACGTATTGCTATTAAATTAATAGAACTAATAGAAAAGATTAAAATAGTTATTAAACCGACGAAATTTAAGCGGATTCTAATTAGATTTACTAAATCGATAGAATTTAGATAAATTCTAATCAGATTTGCTAATTCGACGGATTTTATAATTTTCGCGACGAACGCGCGATTAGCAATTTCAAATTTTATAGAAACTTTTCAGATTTGCAGATGTAATATTATTAATCTTAAAACTATAGTATAGTTCGTTAGATATTAGATCTATAATATTA